GGGGGAAAAATTTATGTTTGTCCTTTTTTTTTTTTTTTTTTTTTTTTTTGGCTGTTATTATTATCGTACTAGTGCCAAAAAAAAAAAAAAAAAACATTGTAAAAGTAGCTGACAGATTCGTTCTGAGAGTGGTTGACACCATAGAATTTATTTTATTTATTTTTTTTGTTCATTTAAAGCGATGCGGTCATGGGCGGACGAGCCCTGCTGGTGGTATCTGTGGTGGCGTGGCTCGGCCGTGACCTCGCTGGGTACAGTGCTGCGGTGGAAAATGTCCTGTCACTTGATGGAGGAGCTGCCTGTAGCGGCAGGAAGGAGTGTGGCGACAGGGGCCATGTGTGTTAACCTCTTTCCTTGTCACTTTTTCTGTCTTTCTTCCCCCTCAGCACACACCCCGCCTCCCTTTATCTCCACCTTTTTTTCCTTTTTTTTTTTTATTTTACTTTTTCTCTCTCAATCCACGTTCCCCCAGACTCAACTCTCTCTCCCCACACTCCTCCATGACAAATTACTGCTGGCGGTTGATTTGTTGGTTGTCAAAAGTGCTCCCTGTGCTGGAGGTATGGAGTGAGCTGCAGAAAAGAAAAAAAAAAGGTTCTCCAATCCCCTCGCCCACCCTCGTCTGGCTGTCCAGATCACCTGCTCTCTTCCACCCGACCAGCCCTTCTCCACATGTGCCCCCTCTCTGGAAATCGACATCCTGTCTCATAAGATCTCATTACATTAGATTTTCATGTTAAATCAGCTTCCATATTAAATTTTCCGTTGAGACTATTTCGATATGTCAGGAAAGGAGCTTGAGGAGGATCGTTTTCTTATTTATGGGAGAGGAAATGAAGCAAGAGCAAAAAGGGGGGGGAAAAAGTGTGAGTGAGCGATAAAGACCGAATGACAGAACTAAAAATGTCAGGATTTGTGATAGGCTGCCTGCTGTGGTAAGAAGCACAAACAGCTCCTTCGAAGGAAATCTGTGTTTGTCTGGATGATCTGATGAATTAATAGAATAAGCAGCTTACTCTAATGTACTGTAATATTCTTAATTTTGCTGTTTCTGCGAAGATGTGACTGTGAAAACATGCAAAGCTGCTAAACAAAAGGATTTATCGTCAATGTCATTGAGCGACCAGTGTTTTTTCAAACTCACCATATCTGTATTGGTCTATAGTATTAAATACTGTACAAATACAGGAATTTAATCGTGTTTGATTCAAAAATCCTGTAAATCCAATGTTGCCATAAAGCAGCCGTGCTCATTGATTTTCAGCTTTGCCAGCAATGACCTAATACAGCCACAGATATTGGAGGGATAAACCACCTTAGTACAGTGAGCACCGACAAATCTCTCATCTCTCACGCAGTTTGTGTACCTTGTACTATGTCAATATGTACAGTACGCCTTTGCTGGAAGGTAAAGTGAAAGCTTGCAGTGAATAATTGTAAGGAAAACTATACATGAAGAGAGGGGAATAATTTTAATTTTTTTTACCACATTTTGCTGCAGTTGCGTCTTTTTGGAAGATGTCTCTACACATTTTGAACATGTCAAGATTGAAATTATGGTCCAGTTTTTGTTTGTTTTTTTGCAAACCAGCTCAAGCTTTTTCTAATTGGATTAAAAGTAGACATGAACATCATCCGGACTTTGACTAGACCATTCTCGCACACAAAAGTACTTTGGTCTAATCTGTTCCCAGTCTGGAGTGTTTTGCAGCATCTTAAAGCCTCAGAGTTTCACTCTATTCTTCTTCTCATCCACTCTGACCAGCTTCTGGGACTGTGTGTTCATGACTCAGTGGTATCTTTACATGTGGGCTGAAAAAGTTTGGCTATGGTCATCTCCTCCGCACGGCTTGTTGCAAGCTTAAAAATGGATGTCCGTTGACTAACTTTTAACATTGACATTCATTAAAAGTTTTATTCTATAAAACTTTTCCTTCATCTCCCTACCAGTAACTGGCTATGCTGGATTTTGTGTGCATCTGTGTAAGCACTTTTGAGATTTACTTTTCTTAAAGAAACCTTTCTAAACTATGGCGTACTTAGTCTATGTCTCGACTATTCTTCTGTGACAAAACCCCTATAAAACACACTTAAATTTGAGGGTACAACATGGCATAACGTGCAAAATATTTTTGTACCAGATAAGAACTTGGCGATGGTGTTTTGACAGCAGCTTTTGCGCGAGCAGAGGTGATTTGTTTTCACGAATGGCTTTGGTCACCCCAGTCCGGCTCGCTGTTTCTGCTCGCTAACAGTTTCACTTCCGCAAAAATAATCGAATATGTTTTCTTTTCAACCCTGGCCATGCAGAAGCAGGATTGCTTTGTGCATCGCCATCAAAACGCAGAGGAGAGCAACGCAATCCACTCATGTTCAAAAGTGTAAAAACTATCTCGTCGCTCTGTCTTTGTGTTAAAAGAGGGGTTAAGCTTTTATCCTATAAATATGGCTTGAAAATGCCTCTGTCAACGACGTATTCATTCTAAGGCCCGTATTAACATAAAAATGGGGGGCTTGTTATACAGTGAAATTTCAATAAAAAGAACACAAAATGCATTTAATGAAATTCAGATGCAGGGCCCTGGCTCCCTGGATCTCATTAAATGAGCTTTGTGCTGTTTTTCCAATCTTCTCTTTGTAGAGGGGGTCCTTGAGTGCCCTTAATAATGTGGCAGATTTCATCATATTCCTGATTTAAAGAGGACAATGTCTGCCTTGTTCACTTGTTCTTTTCTTTTTCTTTTTTTTTTTTTCTTTCCACATGGAAACCAATCTCCACAGATGTACTCGAATAGTTTCTGAATCTGGATGGAGATGATACTCCCAACTTATGGTGTGCTTTCTCTTTTACTTGTTGAAGTTTTGTTGGGGCCCTCCACTAACTCCTTTTTTCCCCCCGCTGTCCCTCCCTCCCCTCTTTTTCTCTCTCTGCATAGGATTTGGTTTCATAACTTTTGAGAGTGAAGACATCGTAGAGAAAGTCTGTGAAATTCATTTTCATGAAATCAATAACAAAATGGTAAGTTCACACATCTTTTTCTCCCCCCCCCCTCCCCCCACTCTCCACAATTCCAGGTGGGAGTTGAAGGATTAATATTTGATTTGTTCTTTGCCCTACTATTAATAGCAGACCATGTGTGTTTGTGTATGTGTGTTATATGCACAAGCTAATACTCCCACATAGCCACACTTTGTGGGTCTCTGGGTCTCAGGGATGGGAAAGCAGTGGTGTGTACTGCCCACAAACCATGAAATTGTGCGGCTGAGTTCTGCCTGTCAGGCTGAGGGGACGGGAGAGTGGAGCCTGTCCCTCTCCTCTCGTTTCTACGCTCCCCTCTTCCTCCCCCCCCATTGCCACATGCGCTCACACAAACACACATGCACAGGTGGGGATGTCCAAGGGTGCAAGAAGAAAGCTACTGGCAGAGGCAGAGTTCATTAGTCAGGGATTAACACCTTCTGCTGAGTGCCAGCGATGCTGGTTTTATTTACACCAGTCGTACGGTCCTTTCAGAGTTTCTGCCGCAACTTTCGAAGCCATCAAGTCAGTCACGTATGATAAATTGACAAGGTCCGCCCTCAGTGTAGCGAGTGTGACATTAGGGCCTCCTTCGCCCACATCCACCCTGTGAGCCTCTTGAGAAATCCTGCATCATTTGAACAGCTTCGTGGGCCGTGATTGACTGGAGGGAGTACTTGTCTCACCACCGTTCTTTCCGAGTGTGCACTCACCCCTCCCAGGCCTCCTTCTGAAACCAGCAGACTGACTGACTGCCTGACTGACAGAACCGGCGTAGTAAAACCTCCCTCACCTGGGAACAGACCGAGTCACATATGACCCCAGTATGCATCCCGGCGTAGCCTTCACATGGTGTCGTATTCCCTGCTAAATCTATGGCAGAAATAACAATACTCGGTGGTATACTCTGTCAGATCCTCTGGCATGCTGATGTACGTCTGTGCAAACCAAAAAAAAAAAAAAACTAAAATATTTTGGAAAAAACTGTCACATGTGAATATGCTGAATGTCAACAAGTCCCAGTTTGGATTTTACAAGCAGGTGACACATTATTTCCAAATAAAGTCTCACTTCTGCCACCTCTAACCAGGAGGGAAAATACTCTCACAAAAGCATTTGTTGAGCGCTGTGCAGCAATTTGCTGATGACTATAGTGGAAACAGAAGTGCTAAATAACAGACTGAATGCGCCGAATAAATAGTTCAATAATAGCACAATTATTATTAATTTATAATAGGGTTTATTGCATTCTGTAAAACTATGTTTCAGATTAAATGTTGGAAGGATGCATTGATTTCTCAAAACATGCAGATATGGTTTTTTAGCCTTAAGTACAACAATGGCATTGTGATAACAGTGGCTCTTAATGGGATCATGCCCCTTTAAAATTTTAAGTTTTTGTGATTAAAAAATAAACTGAAATAGGAAATAATTGCAATCAGTCTGTTAATCTGTCTAAAAGCTTCAGTGACATATTTCACATCCTAATATTTTGTCAAAACATATTTTGGATCAACTACGACATTTAATGTTCTTCAATTAGAGATATGCATGCATTATAAGTTCAAAACTTTCGGTGACTCCAATGTCTTTCGTTTGTTAATTTTTCATTCACTGTGATGTTGAAAAATGAAAACATGTCTCCGTTGCATTTCCCTGTCGTCATTATTTAGGAATGTTTTAGGAGATTCTAGCCATCCCTGAGTGTTTTCTCTGGAACAAGAGCTCCTATTTTTCAGCCATGCTTTCATACTGTAGTTGTCCCTTTTTGATGACGTCTCTCATTGAGAATACCGGAGCGTCACTGCCACACCTGTAAAACACAAGAGATAATTGCTGTTTATTGAAATCTCATAAGAGCCTCATTGAACAGTTTCCAACTTGTGTTTTCATTGTTTTGGAAAAACATCTAATTTTTCCCATTATAAACACACACACACATATATATATTACTGTGGAGGTTTTTTTTGTAGCCTTCTTTTGACTGGTACCTTGCTACAATGAGATCCTTTTGATTCTTTGTGTAGCATTGTTGTAAATAGGTATGGAAGTGAGCAAGTCTTAGAAGATCCAACCATATAACTAAACTATATTTTTCTATTTCTTACAATTTACCAATTCAAATTTGCAGAAGATTACTGATTTATTTACTTATTTTTTCACTTGGTTAAGTGCTTGAATTTTGTTTTGGTTACTTTTTATAATTTTATTTCTTTAAATTTCCCATGACGTCCTAATGCAGTTTGTCTTTTCTACAACTAACACAAATACTGAACAGAAATAATCCTCCAAACAGCTTTAAAGGCTCTGTTACAAAGCTGGGGAAATAAAAATGCAAGCTTTATATGCCGATGATAATAAGATGCACATGTTTTGTTTTGTTTTTTACTCAAACTGAAATTACGGTCAATTTTCTCCAAATCCAAATGCCCGTGTTATCACAAATATTTAAATGTGCAAAATCTCCGAATACACCTCGGTTATGTTTCAGAGAGATACTTGGTCAGCTGTGGCATGTTTTCATGCAGTTCACTGTTGCTTGTCCAGCTGCTAAAAACATCTGCATCTGCTCGAGTGAATTTAAACTCACACAAGGCAATAATGTCAAGCCAACTTCATAGCTCCTGCAGTCTCTGGCATGTCGCAAGTAAATTCACTGGTTCTTCTGATTCAGGATGTAACATGATTTTAGTTTTTTTTTAATTGCGGTTAGAAATAAATTTCCATTCATCAAGTGTGTTGATTTTGTAATCATCATTTGGGGATTGTTTTTGTTTATTTGAGCTGGGTTTTTTCAGGGTGAAATGATAATACCTGAAGAAAGAGTTAAGTGCACACATTTTTTTTTATTCTAATTCACACAGGATGGAAAGAAAACGACACAAAACCAAGCTTAAATATTTACATATACCCCCATTATTATTTAAAATTTGTCAGTCATGTTAAGTTGGATCACAACTACACACTTTCTGTGGCTATCAACAAGGATTTGGTAAAGTTCTAGCTGGAAATTGGACAAGTCTTCTTGGCAGACGTAGCACAGTTCCTTTAAATTGGTATCATTTGTTTGTTTTTTTGTTTTGTTTAGTTTTTTTGCTTGGACCCAGCTTTGGAGGAAATCATTCCAGAGGCTTAATGTAAGACACTTTTATCCATTCTTAAACCAGATTGATTTGTGTTTTGAGATAATTGGAACACTAGATAATGTTCAAGCTTTATCTAACTACAGTTAAGCCCAAAATTGAAAAATTGGTCCGAACAAACATGAAACATGTTTGATCTGACTGTGTGATGGACTGATGACCTGTCCAGGGGTCTCTCCCACTTCCTTATGATGGCATTTGTAATAGTAGTTGCATTTTATAAAAATACAACCAATTAGATATGATTATACATATCTGTTTTTATTAGTGAGGTCCACACACTTCATTGTTTTTCATGAGAGTAACTGGAAAAATGGAAAAGACAAGCCTGTTTGCCCATCAGAGATAAACACAAAGGTAAAGAAAGTCCCAGTAGCTCATTTAAATTCAGATCTTTGTCGGGACTTGTTGATGTAGAGCTTGCCAAAACATATATTATTTTCATTGAGATCAGTTGTAAGTAGCCTTTTGTGTCCTGATAATATACAGCAGCTGAAATTATGTGACATGGGAGGGCTGGGAGGGAAGTTGTGAAATTTATTGTTGTTTTCACCTCCTCTCATTTTCTTGCCAACAACATTGTGGCTCATTTTACACATCTGACCCAGGGTTGCGTCACAGAGTGTAAGACCGTAAACAACTTTAAGCGTTTAGTCAACATTTTCTAATGAGGGCTTTATGAGGTGTAAAACAAACTACTATGGATGGGAGAGAGCCGCTTACAGTTTTGACTGCCAGTAAATATAGATGCATGAGCTCAGCCAATCCTGAATTATCTCTAAGAACTGTAATGTAGGAAAATATAGTGAAACGCTTTCAGCCTTTCTGCAGTGAGTAGTCATTATCGCCGTAGAAAATACGGCTGTCTTTTTTTTCTAGCTACTTCCATCACTGTCTCCTTCTGACTTAACTTTAAACACTTCCAAAATACAAAAAAAAAATAAAAATATATAACTTTGTGTATTCTTCACTCAGTAACAACATCCACACTGAAGAGATTAGACATGGTGCTTTCACAGATCGGGTAGGGTTTCACCAATCACCCGATGTCTCTGCTTGTATATGTGATCTGCTGCTTCACATCTTCCACCTGGCTCCAGAAGTGCTATTTATAGCCTTTATGTTCTTTATAAATAACAGCACACAAAGAAATATTTTAAACCGTCAGGATAAAGTCTAGGGAGACTTAGCAGAAAATATGGGAATATATTGAGCTGGTGTTGTGTTGAAGGGATATTACCAGGGTCAGTTTTCTGAAGCTTTTGTCGCCTTTGTAGGGTCCCCCTCCTGATAACACCTACAGCACATTAAAGGTGTTTGGATACAGAGAATAAATGTGACGCTCAGATCTTCTACAAGGTGTTGACATTTTCTAGCATCTGCAAAGGGAAAAGAATTTGTGTTTAAAGCCTTTTTCTTCTCCCCCCCACCCCTCGTCATAGAGCAGTGGTTATTCACTGACTGAAGCACACAAAGTAAAAAATGTCCCCTGTCTTCATCCTTATGAAGTACTCTACAGAAATAGACCTCATCCATCCTGCCCATGAGTGTTATCTGAGATGGTCTCGTGAATAATTGATGTCGACAGAAATTCCACCCCGCTTGGGAAGGTTGTGGACGTACAGGACAGCCCACCTTCTCGTTGTCCTTCCTCTCAAGAGCTCCGCTGGTGGAGTGGGTCAGGGCCCACTCAGATGTGAGTGACTGAACCTGTAAGTGACTTGGTCAGCCCCCTGTGTTCATGTGCCACCCAGGCCTCGTTCTCAGGGGCATGTCTTCTCTGTCACTGTGAATTCTGTCTCATATATAATTAAAAACAGGGTGCAGCTTTGCAAGAATCTCATAACTCAACCCCCC